AGAGAAACAGGTGAAGAATCAGTATCCAGAATATATAATGAAAGCCTAAAAATAAATAACGACTATAGAAACAAATAAAATGATTCAGGGAGGGTACAAAAAGGCGATTCACAGAAGAGAGAAGAAACCTAGTCAACAAACATGTAAATTTGTTCCACCTCACTGGTAAGCAGGAAAGTGACAATAGTACTGACTGTAAAGGGAACTCTTCCTTCCCTCGTCTATGGTTTTGTCATATTTAAAATTTTGATGTAGCCTCTATGAGAGCATTGGAGATAGCCACTGTATTGTCAAGGTAAATAATAATGATAATAAGAGCAGCTATTAGCTATTAAGCAGTTTGTAGGCATTATTGGTTTTTTACCTTCACAGCAATCCCGGGAGATGGTTTACATATTACTCCCACTGAATAGAATGGGAAACTGAGGCACAGAGATAAGTGACACACCCAAGGGCACACTCGCGGCAAATGGCAAAGTCAACATCTGACCCCAGGGTCTCCGGACTGCCACCCCCCTGCCTAGCTCCTTCCTCCTCCCTCCCCCACCCCACACATGGGTTGTGGACTACAGAACCGCCTAGGAGCCTGTGCGAATTTGTTGTCTTAGCGAAACGTGGATATAACCTCCGTGGGGCATGGACAGCTAGTCCCACTGTGGCCGACCTCACTGCAAGCAGAGCAAACCCCCCGCCCCCAACACACACGCACACTGCACTGCGGACATGTCGTCACTGTTGCCCCTCCGCTCCCTTCCCCACCCTCCTGCAGGCGCAGGCTCCCCGGGGAGGGGGGAGGAGAGATGGAGAAGGCCGCCCACCCTGCCCTACTTCCCCACCCGCACCTCCCACCCGCAGCCTCCGCGTCTGCGCAGCTGAGGTTGTTGCGGTGCCAGCTCTGCAGTGCACCGACAGGGTCTGGTTGGGGAGGGTGAGTCCTTCCAGGTTCACAGCGGGCGGAAGGGAAGCGGGGAAATGACGGGGGAAATGGGGCTGGGGGCGCGGCGGTGATGTGGGACGCGCGATAGTGTGAATGTGTATGCGTGTGCCTAGGGTGAGGGAGCTGGGGAATTCTAGGGTTGCGGGTTTGGGAAGGAGTCTCCAAGTGCAGCCGGTGGGCGAGGCCTGGGTTGGGTCTGTTCCTCCGCCAAGCGCGATCCATCCACCCGCCGGCGGATTGCACTTGAATTTCCGCGTTGGCGCGAGGACCACAGGATGACCTAGCGCTGAGTGTCGGTCTGTGTGTCTGCGTGCCTTTGGGGTCTCTGTGCACACGCGTGCTATGGTCTCGGGGGCTCCTGTCTGTGTGTGCCCTCCCCGTGTGTTCCGCTCGCTGTGTCTGTGCGTCCTTCCGCGTGTATCCCGCGGACGTGTGCGCTCTGTGTGTCTGGGCTCGTGTGTACGCTCCATAATGGCTTGGTGCACAGAACCAGGGTCACACAGGGTTCGCCTCCCCGCATACCTATGAGCCAGCCGTGTGGCTTTCATCAAGGGCCTTCCCCGTCCATACGGTGGAATCATCCATGCCTGTCTCGGAGAATTATGGCGTCGGGTAGATTAGAAAAAGAACGCGGAGCGCCCGGCGGTGCCTGACGCACTGGGGTGCTCCAGGAAACAATGGCTGCGGATGCTGCGAATACTGTTATTGTGGTGGTGGTGGTGGTGGTGGTGGTGGTGGTGGTGGTGGTGGTGGTGGTGACGACTGCGTCTCTGTCCTTTCTTCCCAGCGGAAAGACCTGTTTGTTATTTCAGCGAGAACACTGAAGCTGTGGGTGTCATGTCGGTGCCTTCACACACGCACCCCTGTCATGCCCGCAGCTTTCTTCCTGTCTCCTCTCCTCCCCCTTTCTCCATTCAGGCAGACCCACCTTCTTCTGACCTGGACCCCGTGGCTTTTGTCTTCTCCCTGTCACCCCATCACCTGCATTTTCTCCTCTTCCTGTGCCTTCTTGCCCCTTGGCCTAAACACATGATTAATTATGTCTCATACTGAAAATAAAATAGTAAACAAAACAGCACCCCTACCAGTGCTCTCTCACTTCTTTCCATCAAGGCCATTTAATTTTTTTCTTGGGAACTGTTGTCTGTGTCTCCTCTCCCACACCCTACAATGTAGGGCCTACATCTACCCCAACCCACACTGAGATTGCAAACTGGCATTCCCAGGGTCCAACTCAGCCCACTACCTGTGTTATTTGGCTCACACAGTGTCTTCCTTTTAAACACTGGAAATAATTGTTGGCCTTTCAAAATGCAGAAGGTGTCATCTAAAAATACAGATTTCGTTATCCTGTGAGAAGTCAGAACTTAAGCCATACTGGGCACACATTTTTGCTCGGTGAACATCGGCTGGGCTGAATGGGGCAGCTTCATCAGATAGGATGCCCAATCTCTCCTTTACCACAACTACCCCACTACTCCCAACGCCTCTCCCCACACCATGCATCATTTGCCATTGGTTGTGTTTCCCTTACATTAGAGAAAAGTTTATCTGTTTAACGCCAGGACTTTATAAAAGACCCCAATGGTGTTGGTGATCCAGCCGAACCAGGTTGAAAACAACACAACAAAACTTATGTACTGTGCAGTTCCCAAAGCCAACAGTTATTTCTATGTATATTGAACGCATGTGCAGCAAAACACAAGTTTAAACAATGTGTATCTTGTTTTAATGTTCTGTTTAGTGAAGTCTAAAACACACAGAGCAATGGGCGTGAAGTGTCCAGTTCATTGAAGGTAGAGCTCAATTAATTTGCACAAAGGTCTTCACCCTAGGGCCACCATTCGGGTAAAAGGTATAGAACACCTCAACCCCCCTCCAAAAAAAAGTTTCCTGTGCCCCTCCCCACATCCCCAGCCAGATACAACCACTCTTATGACTTCTATCAACATCAAAGCATTTTGCCTGTACCAGGCTTTGTTTCTAATCAATAAAAATCACACATACGTCCTCCTTTTTGTCTGGCCTTTCTCACTCAATCTAATGTTTTTAAACTCATCTGTATTATCTGTATTGTTGTATGTATCCTTTTATTGTTGCTTTCATTCCTGAGTAACACTCTGTTAATGAATCAACTGTGGTTTGCTTATCCATTCTCTCGTTGATAGGCATCCAGATTCTTAATGTTTTTTTTATTACACATATGCGTAGCTTTAACTGTGAATATAAGCTGTTTTATATTACAAATATAGCTGATAGCAACATTTGAGGACAAGTTTTTGTGCAGACATGGGTTTTCATTTCTCTTGAGTGAGTGTCTAGGAATGGAACCGTGGGGTGCAGAGTGTGTGCATGTTTTACTTTAGAAGATTTCTCCAAATCAACAATGGTGCCTGTAGATCAGGGACCTGGAGGGCAAGACGCGCTGGGGGTTGGGAAGTTGGCAGAGGCATCTGGGAAATGAGTTTGAATTTTGGTTTCAGGGGCCTGTGAGACACCCCTTCCTGTAAAGAAGACTCCAATGATTGGTCATTTAGGAGAAAAGAACATATTCCACATATCTGTAATAGATGTGTTAGATGTACTATGAAAAAGTTTCGCATACACTCATAGGTGCAAAGATAGCACCATGTGCCACCATCTCTCCACTTCCTGGGTGCAGCAGTCATCATTTGCATGTTGGCTCTGACCCCCTTGCATCTATTTCTTTTTCATTTTAATTAAATGTATTGGAATAACATTGGTCAGTGACATTACATAAATTTCAGGTGTACAGCTTTATGCTATGACCTCTGTGTACTCCATTAGGTGCTTACCAGCCCAAGTCTAATCTCCTTCCATTACACAGATTCGTAAAGCTATCTGTACTCCGATGTTCACTGCAGTATTATTTACAAAAACCAAGGCATGGAAACAAATTGTGTCCATTATCTATTTTTTATCTCACTACAGGAGTATTTTAAAGCCCATCTCAGTCATCACGTCAACTCACCCACACACTGCAAAAACGTCTCTTTAAAAAAAAGGACATTTTCTGATCTATCCTAAAGGTCATTTCACACTCCAAAAAATAGATGACAATTTCTTGGTATCATTGAATTCTCAGTCCATAATCAAATTTCCTTGAGTGTCTTAAAAATATTATTTTTCACAGCAAGTTTCTTGAATCTGATTCCAAACATTGTCTCACTTGAGGTCCCAGCTTCTCTTTGGAGTCCCACGATTTTAAAATCTGGTATAACAGTTTCTATTTGAATAAACCTAAGCAGAATTTACTCCTTTTTAAATAAAATATTACTATTCTCAAGGGCAGGCAGTGGGTTATGTAATGCAAGTTTGGTAATACATACAATTTTCTAGAAGAACATAAAACCAGCTTTAGCGTCTCAAGGTAAAGGGCTGAGTGATCATACGTTATTGTAGTTCAGATAGCTTCTTGTAAACAACCTCCTGAGTTTCAGGTTGACAAGATATAGAATGAGAATATTAAAACATATTTAATTTTAAATTAGACTTTAAATTTAAATTAAACCTGGCAAATATTTTTTTGTTTTTGTTTTTTAAATAACAAGAAAGCAGAAAGTCAGGGCTGCAGGAGGCTGGCGGGGAGACAGGTCCTTCTCTCTGCACCCAGAGAGATGCTGGGGCTGACTGTCTTCTAAAATCTTCTGGCTACACACTTTGGGACATGGAATGTGTGTGTGTGTGTGTACACACCCTCATACACATATGCACACACAGGCCACCCTCTCACCCTCACCTCAAAACCCCTTACTCCCTGTCTTGCTTTATTTGTCTCTGGAGCACTGATCACCATGTGACACACCACCTGTCTCTCTCGCCTCACTAGAATGTAAGTCCCACGAGGGAGGGAGCTTCGTTTCCATTACTGCTGTGTCTGGGCACCTAGAAAACATGCTCGGCACACATTTAGCACTCTAAATATTTGTTGAATGATTAAATGTCTGTCAGTCCTCAGGTTCCAAATCCTGTGCCTGGGGACCCTAAGACCCTTGGACGGGGGGAGAAGAAGCCCGCCTTGGACACACCTGCTCCCATGGAGATGCAGAGCCTCAGGCCTGAGCACGTCCGGGAGCTGCTTGAGCCAGAGAGGACCAAGATGCTGCTGCCTAGGGAGAGCAGGGCCTGGGAGAAGTGTGCCACCTTCACCAAGGACTGGGTGGCGGTGGAGGTGGGGACCTCCATCTGTGACGGTGATGAGAAAGGTGAGGGGACAGGGGTCCCCTGGGAGGTGGGGGAAAAGGTCATGGCAGAACCTGGGAAAGACAAGACATTCATTCCTTTATTCACTGATTCCGTGAATTTTTACAGAGCCCTGTGTCAGTCAGCTTTTGCTGTGTAACCAGTTACTCCAAGACACAGTGGTTTAAAGCAACAACCATTTCTCTGCTCATGATTCTACAGGTCAGCAATGTGACATGGTCTCAGGGGACAGTTCCCCTGCTGCCTACACAGCTGCAGGGAACTGGCAGGGCAGCTGGTTGATCTAAGATGACCTTAATCACACGTCTGGCCAGTTTGATGGTGCTGACTTCAGGCAACGTGTCTCCAGCAGGCTGGCGCAGACTTCTCATGGGGTGTTTGCAGGGCAAGAGAGAGAAAGCCTCACTTCACAAGCACTTTGAAGCCTCTACTGGCAACCCGGTTGCCCATGGGCCATTGGTCAAAATGAGCCACATAGTTAAGCTCAGCATCAGTGAGGGAGGGGGCTGTCCAAGGATGTGGACACAGGGAGCAATGCACAAGTTGGAGGCCACTGGGGACAACAATCTACCACAAGCACCTACTACGTGCCAGGTGCAAGAGGTCTAGCAGTGAGCAAGATGGCCCTAAGAGAGCTCAGATTCAATGGTGAAAACAGACCATCTTTTTATTTATGAAATAAAAAGTAATGTCTGATGAGAGGTGTGAAGACAGTAATGGGATGATTGATGGAGAGCGACTTGCATGGGGTTGGGAAGGTGAGAGGTGCACGAGAATGCGGTTGTCACATGCGCTGGGGGAGAGTGTTGATGGCAGGCAAAACTACACATGTGACCACCTGGCAGTGCCACCGAGCTCGCTGTTTGAAGAACGAGGGACAGGGCCAGCGATGGCGTAACTTGTAGGCCTTGGCCAGGAGTTTATATGTTATATGAGTCTTTGGAAAGCCTGGGAAGGTTTTGAAGAGGACAGGCTTGCCTTTGCATTTCAAAAAGATTCCTCTAACCCAGTGGTTCTCAACTGGGGGTGATGTGGCACCCCACCACCCCTCCTCGGGGTACTTAGCAGCGTCTGGAGACCTTTGGGGTTATCATTACTGGGGAGACGCGACTGCCATCTCGTGGGCAGGGGCCAGCTGTGCTGCTAGACACCCCACAGAGCACAGGACAGCCGCCACCACGGAATTATGCAGCCCGAAATGTCAGTGGTGCGAAGTGGGGAAATGCTGTGTCCAGTGTGTGTGAGAACGTATCTTAGGTTGAGGAGGTCAAGAGTGGAAGCTGGGAGGCCAGTTAGGACACTCCTGCAGCTGCCTGGGAGAGAGGTGACCTAGCTAGGTGGGGTGTTGGTGGACATGGAGTGAGCACAGAGATCTGAGAATCAGAGGTCTTGCTGGTGGGTGGGGCAGAGGGGAGGACAAGAGCAATATCAAGGGTGAGTTCTGGGATTTGGGCTCAACCATTGCTGAGATGGGGACCCCTGAAATTCATTTCCACAGCAGAATGGGGCTGGACCATCTACCAGGAGCAGGGTCCTTCCTTCCCCAGGGACGAGCAGGCCAGGGACAGGGATGTAGGTAATATGGACACCAGTCTGGAAGGGAGGAGGAGGTGTCAGGCTCCTAGCGGGGTGCAGCTGTAGGAAGGTGAAAAATGCTGACTTTTGGCCTGCCCCCTAGTTCTGTGCAGCCTCGGGGTGAGACTGATGTTGAAGTTCAAATATGGAGAGACCCCATGGAGGCTGGGAGCTAAGGAAGCCTTCACTGTCCTGGTTTAGTTCTGTGGCTTCTTCTGCTGCTTTCTCACTCAGTTTTAGCCAGAAGCCTGAAGAGAAGGCACTATCTTACTAGTTTGACAGGTAAAGAAAAGACAGAAGCTCAGGTAGCAGAGCACATCAAGTGATCCAATTTAAGTCTTCCAGGTAGTTTGTGACAGAAATAGGATCAGAACTCAAGTCTCTGATTCTCTCTGCCTGACCTTGGCCAGATGTGTGTGTGTGTGTGTGTGTGTGTGTGCGCGTGCGCGCATGCATGCACATGCGCACACACGTGCAATGTGTGTTAGGATATTAGGAGAAAAGGGATAAGGTGCTAAGTGGGAAGAGAATGCAGAGCCCACACAGCTGGCGCAGTCACTCACTCACAGCTTCTTCCCCCACCCCCACCTCTGCCCAGGTCTGTCTTCTCAAGAGACTGGGCTTCCTCAGGAGTGGAGCTTGGTGGAGGAAGACTCAGAGGAGTCCCAGGTAAGTTGAGGTTCCCTCCTCTTTTACAAATGTCCTGCCCTGCAGAACTCAGTGGATTTTCACAGTCCATTCTTCAGCTAGGAATTTCCCTGCTCCACTAATGCCTGTTTGTGGATGTGAGCCCCAAGTGGTCACCCACAGGAGACAGGACGCATTCCTATTGCAGTCAGACAAGGTGTGGAAGGTCTCCATGTGGTGTGTGTAACTCCTACCACTCTCCACCCTTCACTCATCAGTTTATCATAACTTAACCATTCTTTTATCTGTCCCCTCATTCAGCCACCCAAACTTTTATTTGTCTACTCATCCACATATCCACCCATTCTCCATCTGCCCATTCATCCATTCTTCTGTTCATTTGTCCATCCATCTACCTCATCTATCTGTCCACTCATCCATCCATCCATCCAACCATCCATCCATTCATCCATCCATCCATCCATCCATCCATCCACCCATCCATCTATCCATCTACTTCATCTGTCTATCCATCTGTCCACCCACTGAACCTCCCATCCACTCATCCACCCACCCATCCATTCATCCATCTACCTGTTAAACATCCACTGATCATTCATCTGTCTTCTCAACCTTTCATTCACTAACTCATCCACATACATATTCCATCCAAGTATCCAGTTATCTATATACCTACTCATCCACCCATTCATCCATATGCAGTCAATCCATCCATTCAACCTACCCATTTATCTATGCACTTATTTATCCACACACCCATTTATCCATCAGCTGCTTGTTGGTCATGGTAGGGACTTGGCCACTATTCAACCACCCATATATCCACTCACCCATTCATCCATCCATCTACCAGCCCATCCACTGATCTATCCATCCACTATTCATTCTTCTACCCACTCATCCATCTATCCATCCATCCATCCCCATCCATCCATCCATCCATCCATCCATCCACTAATCAACTACTAGGTTTTAATCCAGATCCTGCGAGTGAAACCAAACAGACTTATCAAGCACATTCCTTTGTATTGTTTCCTTTGGTGGGGCATAAGACATTAATATGTGAAATAATAATCATAATTCTTTTATTTAAACATTTTTTAACATGTTTCCTTTGGTGGGGCATAAGACATTAATATGTGAAATAATAATCGTAATTCTTTTATTTAAACATTTATCTTATTAGAAAAATCACATAAGTACCCTAAGCAGCACATGATGATCCCATCTCCCAATCATATGTCTGAAATCCAGCTCAGATTAGTTTAAGCCAGAAAAAAGATATATTGACTCACAGCATGGGGAGGGAGGCAAGCTAGGGTGGTGCAGAAGCAAGTGCTGGTCACAGTGGGGTGGCTCAGAGAAGATGTTAACTCTGTGGCCGGGAGGCTTGTTCTAGAATGTCCTAGACAGCAGGAGACAGCACACTTGGGGTTTGGGAGATGAGTGAAAATTTTTCAGATAGAGCAGAGGAGGGAACAACATGTGCAAAGACATGGCGGCATGATGGAGCATGCCTTTGGGGGAACATTGGACTTAGGGCAGAGCAGTGGGAGATGTGGGTGAGAAGTGGGCTGGGAGGAGAGCATTCATTCATTCCATAGATGTGGGTGGTGAGAGAAAGGAATGTCAAGGGTATCACAGGTGGATGTCTGGAGAAGCCTGAAGGAGAAGGTGCAGGAAAACAGCATGGGAGCTTTTGGGGACACAGGGGAAAGATTTGGGGATATTTGGGATATGACAAGTTTAACATGCCCATTAGACATCTAAGTGGAGATGGCAAGGAGACAGTGAGACTTATAAGTTGGGAATCCAGAAGGCGGTTAATCAACACACACACGCACACATTTGAGAGTCATTAGAGCAGAGATGGTGTTTATAATGGGCAAACTTTACAAATCACTCTGAAATTTTCATCACATGTACCATTGTTCTGATAATTCCTCTGCTAGAGAATAAGGATATTACATACTTTATCATCTATCTAGTCACGTCATTGTACAGTTTTTAATTCAAATGGCTTCTCAGTTGATGTGCCAGTCGTGTAATCCCATCTTCCTGCAGGTAACAGTGCTGGCTCCTCCCTTTCGATATTCATACCTTTTTTTTCTCCTCTGTTCTAGGGCTTTGTGGAATGGCCAAAAGCCCCACAACAAACAACTATACTCTTAATCCTCTGTGTGCTTTTCTTGTTCCTGGTTTTGACAGGGATGCCGATGATGGTTTACATTTAACTCCAGTGGTGGCCCTTGTTCCAAAAGGGACTCCTTGTGTTCCCTTAACATAGGGTCCTGGCTAAACACCAGGAATGGGTGTCGAATATTATCAAATGCCTTTTCAATGCCCATAGAGATTATTATTATTTTGTTGTTGTATTTCACCTTTTGGTGTGAGGTTTTACATTAACTATATTGTATTGAAATTAAGACATCATCAACTGTAAAATGTAATAGTTTGCATACCACTGAGAAAGAAAGAAATGCCACTTAATTGTAAGATGCCACCAACCAGGAAACACATTGTGACTTCAGAGAAGGTAAAAAAAAAAAAAGTGTATCTTAGGCTTGATGAAATCTAATAGATTTCTTAATGTCAAATTATCTTTGTCTTCATAGGCTTGTGGAGTACCTGTCTTTTCAGAAGCTGAATTCTATTTCTAGATATTTTCTATATGATTCTTGCCTCTGTCTTCATACGTAAGATGGGTACTGTCCTTGCCAAGTTTGGGTACCTTGGCTAAGCTTGCATCACAGAAGTAACTATTCTCATTTTCTATGCTTTTGAATATTTTTTTGTAGCTTGAGAAATATCAATCCTTTGACATTTAGAAAGAATTCTCCAGTAAAAGAATCAGGTCCTAGAGCTATGGAGGCGGGATGTCTTAGCTAATTCTTGGATGGCTTTCTCAGTTTCTTGCCATGTTATCAGTTTATAAATCCGTTTTACTTCACTAATTTTTATGATTTATAGTGTTCTTTTATCCCCTAGAATATTCGTCTTTCCATTGAGCTTTTCAGGTGATTGGCTTAATTAATCACATTATTTTATAATTAAACAAAATTGTATTTTTCTTTGGTTCTATCCCCTTCCTTTTGGAAGAAACTTCTGTTTGTGGTTTACTCATCAGATTTTTCAAAGGTGTATCTAGTTTATTATTATTTTTCTGAAGAAGCAGCTTTAGGATTTATTTATGTCCATTATTTCTCTACTTTGTAATTTGTTTCTCTTTAATATGTGTTTGGTTTATTTTTTAATTGTTTCTATTCCTTGTCTTTATTTGTTTATATTCTCTTTTTATAAAATTATTTGCTAGAATATTATACTTAATAATATAAATGTACTTCTGGTTATAGCCTTGACCACATCTTACAGTTTAATTATTCATGTTCTTGTTTATGTTGTTGTCTAAATATATCATAGTGTTTCTAAAGAGTGCTTTGAAACTCAGTGATTTGGTTTACCTAAATATAGGGGTTTTTTTCTTGATTTACTGCACTGTGAACAGAGAATGTGGCCTATATCTGCTTTCAAAACCTTTTTAAAAAGCTTTTATTGTGGCCTAGAACATATCCAAATTTGTATGTTTCATGGACGTTTAAGAAAAATATGTATTTTCTGTCTGTAGAATTCAAAACTCTACATGTCTGTTAATTGATTCAGTCTTATCAATCGTGTTGTTGAGAGTCATGTGTTATTTAATTTTGGCCTACCCTGTCTGTCAGAAACCAATATGATTATGTGAAAATCTATTAGTATGATTATGTTTGTCAACATATTTTTAGTCTTTGCTTTATGTATTCAGCACCTGTGCCATTTGAAGCATATCATAAGTACAGCATTGTTATGTCTTTGCCAATTAAATAATATGTGTAAACACCACATACAGTGCCATGCATATAGTAGACACTCAATAAATGTTAGTGAAAACCTGATTGTGAATCCTTTGTCAAATATCAAATAATTGTCTTTAACCAATTTAATCCTTTGCCTTAAATTTTACTTTGTCTAATAGTGGTTGACAGACTGGCATTACCATCCTGATCTTTTTAAGTTCCTGTGTGTGTGTCTGTGTTTAGGCTCTTTGTGTCGTTTTGTTCTAACAGGACTTCCAATGGCCTCTTCTGGTAGAGTTAGGGCAGGGACAAGTATGGGGTCCTCTCTGGTCATCCCTCTCTTGGGCTGATTGCATCCAACAAGCCACAATTGGCCCTTAAAAGCATATAAGTCTCAATCATTACATTCCTTAGGATTTTATTGGTTGCAAATAAGAGAAGCTCAGTTCGAATGAGCTTAAGCACAGGGATGTTATTCACATTGTGCCCAAGTTCAGGATGAAACTGGCTTAATTTACAGCGGGTTCCCAGGGCCTTTCCTCTCTGTCGACTTCCCAGTTGTGCTTCCTTTTGGAGGTGACCGCCTTCTCCTTCTCCACACAGCTAGGGGCATGGCTATCACCGTCCCATGCTCACCTCTTCCCTGTGGCAAAGTGGGGAACTTGAAGCAGATCCTTGTCACACACACCTCACCCCCCATAGCTGCTCTGCCAGGGTGGACCAGGGACGAAGGGAGGGAACAGCAGCTGCAAAGGCCAGAAGCAGGACAGAGCTGTGGGAAAAATGGCAGAGAATGTACTGCAGCAGGACAAAGTGGAAACGGGGGGTGCACTGGGAGGCCACCCTGGACGTCCAGGCCCAGCGGGCTCATAGCGGGCTGAGGGCGCTGTGGTGGGCTCAGATGGTGCCACAATCCTAATCAAACTTGTGGGGACTGGAAATAATCCTGATGCTAATAGAAATCATGTGAGCAGTGGCCGTTAGTTTAGGCTTCATCATGTGCTAAGATGGTGGAAGTATCCACCACACCCCTGACGATCTGTTCTCCACCCAACAGCCAGAAAAATGCCATGAAACCATAATGAAGGCCATCATAATCCCCCTAGTTCAGCGTTACCAGTCAGTCCCCACAAAGGCGGCACAGCCCCCATGAGCTGTCCTGTGCTGCCCCCTCCTCTCTCTCCTCTCCAGCACACTGACCTCATTGCTGTTCCCACCAGCGCATCACATGCCCTCCTTAGGACGTTTGCACTGGCTGTTCCTTCTGCTTGCAATGCTCTTCCCCAGCCCAAACATTGCTGCTTAGAGCACTCTCCACTGACCACCATCCTCTAATAGCGTCTCCCACCACCTGACAATTATGGGTTGATGCGGTTCTCGTCTGGAGTCCTAACAGCCTGGTCTTTCGTCCTCCTCTGGTGGCTTTGCCTGGAGGAACTGTATCCTGGGAAGGCTGAGTTGGGGGCGAGGAGTTGCAGGCTTCCGCTGTGCCTCCCAGGAACTCCCCTACACCCGCATCAGCCTGTGTGACCCCACCCGTCCGACCCCCTCTCTTACGTGCTTGACGCTGCTCTGTCCTCTTCCGGAACAGGCCATATTGGACCCAGGACAGTATCTGCTTATAGTGTCTGCGACACACAGTGGAGCGGGAAATGCGTCAACTAGGAGAAATCTGAAAATCGTAGGAAAAAACCGGGACCCCTCCCGGCTACCAGATAGCCCCTGGCTTGTAATTCTCACCATGAAACCACCTGCTGGGAGCCGTTTCTGGGCCGACGGGACTGCTGCACGCTGCCACCAGGGAGTAGCTTAGGCAGCCAGCGCTGTGGCGTTCGCGTAATGCCAATTCCTGTTCCTCTCTACCTTACCTGTAACCCTTAGATTGTAGATGCTCTGAAACGCGTACTTTCCTAACCCCTCCCCCAGGGTCCCAGCCCCTCCTACTGCAGAAGAGGCTCCGGGCAGGCTCTCCTCACGCACAGCCCCACCTCCCGTCCCTGCTCCGCTGCAGGGACAGGAGGTCACAGCCCGGTAATCAGCTAACACACAAGGCAGTGCCCCAAGAAATGCCACCCACGCGCGGTAGAGCTCAGCGTGGGAGCCCTGCGCCTGCGGGCACAGCCTGGAGCCTGAGCTCTCCCAGGGCGCCAGAGCCCCTGCGCCCGCACTAGGACCAGGCAAAAAGGCTAAGGGACCGACTCCGGCCCCGCCCACAACCTGTCAGCTGGGCTGCAGAGGGTGCGTTTTTCCTGTTCTTTTGGCGATGGAACTCAGTCTCAAGTCTGTAGACGAGGGTTCTATTTCATTCATTTGTCCATTCACTCGACACTCCCTGAGCACCTACTCTTTGAAGAGGCCTGAGCTGGGCGAAATTTGGATCAGAGGGAGGAGCCAGACTGTGTGGTTCACAACGCTGAGAGCTCTAGGGCTGGAGCTGGACGTGTTCAATTATTCACTCAGTCAACTCAGTATTTGCTGAGGACCTACTGAGTGTGGGGGCCTGAGGTGGGCGATGTCTGGGGCACCAGGGCGGGGGCGGGAGTGGGGAGGGGAGAACCGTATCATTCCTGACCCTGAATGACTCCAGGGCTTATCTGGAATGTACAACTTCACTCAGTCACCTGGCACTTCCTGAGGACCTACTATGTGTGAAGGCCTGGACTCAACAAAGTTTGGGCCACAGGAACCAGAATGTGTGGGTGTGGTCTCTGACCCTAAGGGGATCCAGGGCTGGTGCTAAGGATGTTTACCTACTATTCATTCATTTACCTGGCCTATTCATTTCTATTTCCTGAAGACCTACTGTGTGCTGAAACCTGGGATGGGTGATGTCTGGGGCACCAAGAGGAACCAACTGTGTGGTCCTTGACCCTAAATGACTCCAGGGCTGATGCTGGGATGTACAGCTATTCATTCAGTCAGCACTTTGCGAGGAACTATTGTGTGCAGAGGCCTGTCCAGGAGGTGCCAGAAGTAAAAAAGGCACACTCTCTCTCCTCCCAGGTCCTCACCAAAGGGGCTGAACCTTTTATCCAATTTAATTTATTGAACAAATGCCTGCTCAATCATGAAATCAACTATTACAAGGCCAGCCTGAGACTCACAGATACTTCTTTGGGTCTACTTTGGTAGGTCACATTTATAATTTTGGATCAGGGAGGTGGCGGGGAGTCCAGCAGATGTGGAGTGCAGTCCTGGCCCTGTGACATCTTCCCTGTGTGACCTTGGGCAAGTCTGTGACTTTCTCTGAACCCTAGTTTCTTTTTGAGCAGCAGGGAGATGAAAGGGTATGCCCTCCAGTGCCGTGAGGCTGGAGACAAACGTGAAAGCGCTCAGCACAGTGCCTGGTACGGGAGGCCCGGTGATCGTCAGCTCTTACGTTGCTGGTCCCCGGAGGTTTCTGCAGGGCCACGACTACTAACAGGTTTCTCCTCTCCGTGCGAACTCAGGGGTCGGGTGAGGTGTGGCAACCGCGCAGAGGTGTTCCCGCACGGACCGCGCTCATGGGGCGTCTTGTTGCATCTTCTGATGCCGAATGAGGGCAGAGAAGCTGAAGGACTTGCCGCAGTCCCCGCACCGGAAGGGCTTCTCGCCGGTGTGGATCTTCAGGGAAGATCCACAGACCTCTTCAAAGAGTAGGTGCTCGAGGAGGGAGGACACGCGGCGGAAGGCGGCGCCGCACTCCAGGCACTTGTAGGGCCTGGCGCCTGCGTGCACCAGGTGGTGCTGCGCCAGACGCGAGCGGTTGTTGAAGGCGCGGCCGCAGTCGGCGCATGCTCAGGGCCGCTGGCCCGTGTGCACGCGCCGGTGCTGGCTCAGGTGCGACACCTGCGTGAAGGCCTTGCCACACTGTGTGCGTGTGAATGGCTTCTCGCCAGTGTGGATGCGCTGGTGCTCGGCCAGCGAAGCTCTCTGGCTGAAGGGCGCACCGCACTCAGCGCACATGTAGGGCTTCTCGCCGGTGTGCACGCGCCGGTGCTGAGCCAGGTTGCGCCCCTTTGTGAAGGCCTTGGCGCACTGGCGGCAGGCGTAGGGCCGCTCCGCCGTGTGCGTGCGCCAGTGGCGCAGCAGCGCCCAGGAGAAAGGGAAGGCTTTGGGGCACTGCGCGCATAAGGGCCGCTAGCCGATGTGCACGCGCTGGTGCTCCAACAGGGCCGCGAGGCCGCGGAAAGGCTTGGCGCACTGGCCACGGGCGAAAGGCCGCTCACCCGTGTGCACGCGCTGGTGCTGTGCCAGGTGCGCAGGGCGCGCAAAGGGCTTGGCGCAGTTGGAACACGCGTGCAGCCGCTCGCCAGTGTGCCGCCATGTAGGTGCTCTGGCTGAAGGCTATGCCGCACTAGGTGCGGGCGTGCGACCGCTCGCCCGTGTGCACGCGCCGGCTGAAGGCCCGGCCGCACTCGGGGCAGCAAACGGCTTCTCCCCGGTGTGCGCCCTCCAGTGCAGAGCCGAGCAGTAACTGAAGGCCTCGCCACAGTCCTCGCACTTCCACGGCTTCCCGGGGCCCCCAGCCTCTGCATCCTTCTGTTTTAGGCTCTTTCCTGGGATGCCGCGCCCCCGGGACCCATGGGTGACCTGGGTAACCGTAGGACTGGTTCCCAGGACTCCACCGAGGTCACCACGCTCCCAGGTAGGGTCCTGCTGTTGGGCCTCTGGCTTCGCAAAGCTTTCTAGCTTTTCCTGCCGGTCTTTGAACTGACCCTCAGGTGTCCAGGCTTCGCCCAATTCTGAGCCCTGGGCGGTGGGAGCCAGGAGTCCTGACATCCCCACTCCAAAGCTGCTGCCTCCATTTCACAGCTGGGTACTGGATCTGAAAGAAAAAAAAAAAAAAGGTTTGTAATTTGTCCTGGGTTAGGAAGGGCCCAACTTAGGGTCCCTGCCTCCGCACTGGTGACAGCTTTGATCAGATCATTCTGTCCTGGGGCCATCCTGTGAGTAGCAGGATGTTGAGCAGCGTCCTTGGGCTCTACACACTGGATGCCAGTGCACTGCCCTCTCCCCAGCCAAATACACCCCTGGGTGGGACAACCGAAAATGTGTGCAGACATGGCCATGTGCCCTCTGCGGGGACAAAACTGACCCTGGTTGAGAATCATTGACTTAAAAGGAACTGAAAACAATTTAAAAATATCCTGCAGAAAAATGAATCTTTAGCTTATAACCTATTGCTACTACCTGAAATGTGTCCCCCAAAATCCATATGTGGAAACCCGAACCTCCTATGTGATGGTGTTCAGAGATGGGGCCTTTGGGAGGTGGTCAGGGTTAGGTGAGGTCCTGAGTGTAGAGCCCCTGTAATGGGATCACTGTCCTCATAAGAGGAAGCGACCAGAGCTCGCTCTCTCCACCTTGTGAGGACACAGCAAAACGATGGCCATCTCAACCCAAGAGGAGAGCTCTCACCAGAACTGGCCCTGGTGGCACCTGATTACAGACTGCCAGCCTCCGGAACTGTGAAGAACAAATGTCTGTTGTTTAAGCTCCCAGCTCAGTATTTTGCTCTGGTGGCCTGAGCTGACTCATATTCCCAGGGGGATGTTTTTTTTTCTGGTAGAAAAATCGGTCCTCCCCCCACACACGGGAAAAAGCAGCCCCACATCCCCTGTATGTATACTGCTGGCGGGAGCACGTACTGGATGGAATGCTGGCACCTTCCAGGAAGGCTGAGGACACATCCCCAGTGGCCCAGTCCTTACATTTTCTGGAACGTGAATGCATGTGTGTGCCGGGAGGCTTGTCTGAGATCGTCTGTAACAGCCAAATACTAGAAACAATCCAACTGTCCATCAACGAGGGAACAGACAGCTAAACGGGGTACATTCGCAAACTGGACTGTCTCACAGCATAAACACGAATGACTGTCAGCAACTGCACCAGCTGAGAACCTCAAATACAGTGTTGGCAAACAAGGTAGGATGCAAAAGAATGTGTCCAGTATAACGCGATTTAGGCTTAAAAACATTAGAATTGATCATTTGGGGAATAATGGATGTAAGTAGCAAAGGTTCACTGCTCCACCCTGGCCCAGCTGAGCAGCAACAAATGCAGAGTTCGCCCCGCCCCAGGAGAGATGACTTGGAATTTGCTTAACAAAAGCCCCAGGTGACTCAGGGACACTGGACGTCTGACAGGTGCTGCTCTCGGCCACTCAGGCCAACATAGACTATCATGTGGTGGCAATAATAACCAGCACCTGCTGGACACAAAGCTGTGTGCCCAGCACCCTTGAAGCTCTTGCCGTGGATTACCCCATTATCCTTCAGGGAGGCCCCAGGAGTGGCAATGCCAGGGCCCATGCTGGGGCTGACGGGTTCCAGACTGCACCCTCTGCAGCGCCACCCTCCACACTACCCCCACACTAGCTGTTTCAGTTGCCGGTAATGCTCTTCCCCCAGCACTGGAACATGACCTGGAGTTCTGGTGCCACCCCCATAGGCAGCTCTCTGGCCCCTCCTGGGCCCAGCTGAGTCCCCATAACTGCAGAGGTACCCACCTCATGGTCTTGGGAGCATTAGGTCTTGTCCATGTCACTCAGGCTGTGGTCCTGCTCTGGTGACTGTGCTTCAGTGGGTCCAGTAGGCATCTGTGGAAGAAATGGGGAGTCCTGAAAGGGGGTTCTTGGCAGACACAGGAGGGCAGAGCAAAAGTACAGGGTGTTTAGTGTGTGCGCATGTGAGAGGTGAGTGGGTGGGGGAACCCAGGATGGTCACATGCACAAATAGGCAATTGACAGGAAGACAGACATGGTCAGAGGCAGATACACACATCATGTCTTTTTCTCTGTCACACACACGCAGTCACACCTCGGGGTGCAGTTATACCACCGCCCGCCCTGGCACTCATGTGCCCTTACAGGTCACCCAATGCTGCAGCACACAGTCCCCCACACACAAGGAGGCAGGCAGTCTCACACAGCCTCATGGCTCCAAGTATGCGGGCAGCCCACACCTGCACATGCACACATAGCTATACACACAAGGTCACACACACTGCCCCACTCCACTCAGGCAGCCCATGCGCTGGGGCTCCACCCACAGCAGCATACACGGAGCCACACCTGGTGGGTAGACGTCACAGGCACCCGAGTCACATAGGTGCAGGGCCTTCCCCATGTGCAGAAGCACACACAGTGATGCCACTTGAGGTGTCATAAACATCCTGTGACACACTTTACACAGCCCTCTATACGTAGTTATGCTCAAGCACACACAAAATGATACAGGCACACCCAGGCTACCCAGCTCCAGGTTGTGGTCACACACACTGAGCCTTCACACACAGTTGCACACCCATACACACATATGTGGAATCACACCCCTCATCCCCAGTAGAACAAGTTCCACACATGCCCAAAGTCGCACAAGTGCAGACACACTCATTTACGCACATGCCACTGTGGTCTGGCATATGTGAACACAATGATATGTAGGGACAGATACACACCGCATTGCACGAACAAGTTATACACCCGCAAGGGCACAAACTGATGGAGTCACCCACATGCAACACGTGGGGACGGACTCATACACGGGAGTCACATTCACAAGTACATGGGCACGAAGTTGTGGAGTCACGCAGGTGCAAACACGGTGACACGAGGGGCAGGACTCGTATGCACATGCCGCCAGAGTCACGAACTTACTGAGACCAAAAGACATGGGGGATGGGGAGTGGAGAGAGAGTGAGAGACAGACATTCAGACAGACGCAACCACACATCGGCGCCCTCGCCTCCCGGACAGTAGGAAGGCCTGGGGCGCCTGCCGCCGAGCTTGATGAGTTCGGGTCAGATTCTTTTCGGTCTCCGGCCCTATCCAGCCCGCGCGGACTCCCAGTGACCTGCCTTGTCCCACAGTGGCGCGGACACGTGCGCCCCACACAGGTAAAGGCGGCCGACGCCGCTAAAGGACCGATGTGCCAGGCCAGCGCGGACTGCGCGTGCGCGCCGGAAGAGTGTGGCCTGCGCGGGACTCCCAAGAACTACAACTCCCAGAAGGAGCCGCGCCCCTCCTGCGCAGCGACTCAGGCCCGCAGAACCTGGATTAACAAGACTACAACTCTCACAAGTCCTTGCGTCTGCACGGAGCGGGTCGAGAAGACCCCGTCGCGAGGGATCCCGAGGAGGGCGGGGCGGATGTGGGCGGGGATTTGGCCGTGTCTGCCCGAGCCCCGCCCAGCACGGCTTGCGCGCAGGGTTGTGGGTGGGACCAGTAAAATGAGGGCGGGACTCTTCTTCCTCAAGGAGGGCCAGTCTACAGGCTTAGAAAAAAAAGAATCTGAGGATCAGAGAGGCCAAGTCTCTCACGCCAGGCTGCACAGCACAGAAAAGGTTGGAACAGAGCTTTGCAACCAGCCCTTCACCATTAAGCTGTGGAAGTCATTTGTCTCAGAATTGGATGTAATTCCAGTCCAGAGCAAAGAAGATGACAAATCCATTTACGTGGGTAAACGATTGTAATAGTCAATGCATACATAGGATCTACGATTGGCCAACAGTTATTTTAAAGAGCTTTCTATGAAAGAATTCTGTTAGCCTTCATAAATTCTTTCCTCGGCCATTAGACACATGAGCACGAAATCATTTTTAGATCATTGGGAAAGCCGAGAAACATGTCAATGCAGAACGGGGAGAAAGTCAACATGCCATCGACTGTGAGACGGCACATTATTTTGTGTACACCCATGGCTACCCACAAACCATCACACAGACTTTCTTTGCACGTCAAATTTTTATTTTCTATGTAGACCTAAAGAGGCATTGTGAGGTTTCTCATCCTTCTGGAAGCTTCTGGCATTGTCATGATAAGAACGTGTTCAGAGACTCCCAGCCAATCCACGGACCTGTGAGGTGAGACTAAAGGTTTGTGGTTTTAAGCCACTGAATTTTTTTGTTTGGTTTTATATTTGAATATTTGAAAAATCTCTTACATATTCCTTATAAACCGTGCTGGGAGCTCAGAAGACTGCAGCGTTTTTGAGCACTAAAAAGCTTCCCCTGCCCCAGGAAATTAAAATCAGGAATTACTCAAATACAGGAAAGGACCTTTGCACTCAGGTATATCATGAGGAAAAATATTTATTATGTTCATTTCATTCTTCCATGGTTTAGAAAGTCAGGCAGGGCATAGCAGGGATGGCTGCAGCTCTGCTCCACAATGGAACTACACCTGGAGCAGGTTGAACAGCTAGAGATGGCCGGGATGACCAGGTGGGGCCATGTGACTGGGTCTGGGCTCTTCTCTGTCCCGTGTCTGTTGGGCGTGGCCAGGCATCTGGCTGTGGCTAACCTGGGCTTCCTTACAGAGTGGTGGCCTCAGAGTGTGAGACTTCTCATATGGTTGTCCAGGGTTTCAACAGGAGTAACCCAGGAGCAAGCCACCAAGAGGAGGGGCTGTTTGTTACATGATAGCTTAGTGGCAGTGGCTGACTGAGATAGGCAGGGTCGAGAAATGAGGCAGAAGGTGTAGGCCAGTCATCCAGGTTCTTGCAGACCATTCCTGAAGGTGGTATGGAATCACTGCTGTGTGTTTTTCCTTTTTTTAAAGCTGAAAGAGTCTGCATTTGGGACACTGTGTGTCCTGGTCGGGTGTGTGTGTGCTGGGAACTGTTTGCTCTAATATTGTGGGATAATTCTTTCTCTAGCCTCAGGTCACTGAGCTGCTATGTGCTCAAGGGACCCTCTGCAGACCTCTGGTATCCTCTCTTTGTGGTTGTACATCTTCAGAACTCTTTCCTATAACATGTGGTCACGTTAGTGTTCCTGGACGCTCAGCTGTGTCTCACCACCTCTGAGGGTCTACAGGGCTCTGTCCCCATGCCTCAGCATTATGACTTGGAAACCCCCTGAAGACAGTAAGCCAGGGCAGCTGTAGGGCTCACCTTGCCCATCCCCATGTATCAGTAATCACCGTCTGTTGCAGCCTGATGGGGCCTGCCTTAAAAACCACTATGTTTTACATTTTGCCCCTTTTATGGTTGTTTCAAAAGGGGGAGAAAATATAGTCCCTGTCACTTCATCTTGGCCAGAAGCAGAAGTCCATAGTAAGTGTTGAATTCAAAATGCCCTTATTTTTAAAAATTTATTATTATGTTTTAAATGTTTTGATTACAGTTGACATTCAATTTTATATTAGTTTCAGGCATGCAACATAGTGATTAGATATCTATATAGTTTATGAAGTGATCACCTCCATAAGTCTAGTACCCACCTGGCACTATTCACAATTACAGTATTATTAACTATATTCCCTATGCTGTACTTTAAATCCTCATTACAAAATAGCCTTATTTTTTAAAAATTTTCTTTGGTGTGATTATAAATGCAACTCTTTTTATTATTTATTTTTTTTCAGTTCATGTATTTTCAGTAATTGTTTTTCTATGTTTTTTAAAATATTTTTTTATTTTTCAATTACAGTTGGTATACAATATTATATTAGTTTCAGGTGTACAACATAGTGATTACACATTTATGTAACTCACAAAGTGATCCCCCAGTGACTCTAGTACCCCTTTGGCACCATACACAGTTATTACAATATTATTGACTATATTCCTTGTGATATACTTTATATCTCCATGACTATTTTGTAACTACTAATTTGTACTTTTTTTTTCTAATTTGTACTTCTTAATCCCTTCCCCCTTACTGTTTTCTATCAAAAAATAGCCTTATTTTCTTTGACAGAAAACAGTAGCAAGTATGATTTTACCAAAGAAAAGTGGAAATAGTCCAAATATATACCAAGAGAAGTAGTACTGTTTATTTCTTTAATGGAAAACAGTGATGATTTTACAACAGGGATATAGTATTGTCACGCTTAGGGGTTTATGAACCCTTGTCCACCTTTGCTGAAATCAGGAGAGGACACATCGTCTTCAAAGAATAGACAATGGAAACAGCTCAAACATTCCATTCCTTTAGCTACAATTTGTAAAGTCAATTACTTTATAAAGCTATATTTATCTGTTATGGGTTGACTTGTGTCCCCACCCCAGTGACATGCTGGCTTTGTAACCCTCAGTACCTCAGAATATGACCTTATTTGAAGATGCAGTCTTTACAGAGGTGGCCAAGTGAAAACAAGCTCATTAGGGTGGATGCTTATCCAACAAGACTGGCATCCTTAAAAAAAGGAGAAATTTGGCATAGAGGGGAGATGGTGTGAAGACATAGGACCTAGACATCCATCAGCAAGCCAAGGAGAGAGGCTTGGCACAGACCCTTCTCACAGCCCTGGGGAGGTACCCACCCCTGCCGGGACCTTCGTTCCAGACTGGCAGCTGCCAGAACCCAGAGACGACACATCCCGTGTGTGAGCCCCCCAGTCTGTGGTACTTCTTTAGAGCAGCCCTAGCAGACTGATTCAGAGTCTGTGAACAACCAGCATGCTTAATTTTATTAGCTGTGGGCTGGGTTAGGCGAGCAGCCCTTCTAGTCCTGGCCAGGCCCACTCATGCATCTGTGGTCATTGCTGGGCCAACTGGGCTGGCTCCTTTGAGGTGGCCTCCACTGACACGGCTCCTTCTGCTCCATGCACTCACTCATCCGCCAACAGGTCAGCCTGGGCTCGTCCACATGGCTGC